TTTCTAATGGGGCTCTGTGATAAGCCTTATCGTGAAATACAGGAATATCATGCAAAATAACAATAAATTGATTGGAAAATGTTCCAATTGCTTCACATGGCTATTTACACAAATCAATATATACAGTTTATATTTGATTACAATTGAAAATTATGGTGGCTACAAGCTTCTTTTCCAACACTTATTTTTCTGGTCACCCATGGCTAAGCTGCTACCCTGTACTAAGATTTAGGATTATAAAGATAAATAAATCATATTCTCTGTGTGTAAATTGTTTACAAATGATCTGGAAGACAGATACCTAAAAATAGCAATCAGTTGAAAAGTGCTCCGATAAAAATATTAACAAAGCATTACTAAGGGGCAAGAGAGGAAGTCCTCCAGCTCTTTCTCAAATATACTTCCATCCTTTCACTTAATTTGTTTTTTTCACCTGGAAAGCCACCTTCCCAATCCTGACCCTCAAGCCACATTCCTTGAAATTTTGACCATTCTTCAAATCCCAGGTCAAATGCCATTCCCCCCCCCCCCAACAAATTAGTTCCTAATCTTACACTTTGGGATTAATCTTTCCAGTCTGTGTACTTCTATAACTTTATTTATATTTCTGTTTAATGCAATTCGTTATTGTTCTTTTTAAATTATATATGGTATCTACTATTAGATTATAAGCTCTTTAGGTCTAATTCATTTTTGGGTCTCCCACAGACCTGAGCCTAGAGGCTTCTTTTGTGTGTGTGTGTGTGTGTGTGTGTGTGTGTGTGTGTGTGTGTGTTTTATAATATTAATTAATTTTAGAGAGGAAAGGAGAGAGACAGCTAGAAACATCAGTGATGAGAGAATCATTGACTGGCTGCCTCCTGCACACACCCCACTGGGGAAGGAGGCTGATCAAGAATCGAACCCAGTTATGTTCCCTGAGCAGTAATAGAACCATCACCTCCTGGTTCATAGGTCAGCACTCAACCACTGAGCCACACCGCTGGGCTCTGGAGGCTTCTTAAAATGTACTCAGAGCCTGTTCATTCAGAACAACTAATGGACAGTCCCTTTTAGAATGCCAAAGTGAGAGGACCCTTCTTCCTTCTGGCAATTGTGATTCCCTGTTTGCACATGCCAAAAATGCTTCTTTCAAAGGGACATAAAAGAAATAGTCTTTGACCTAAAATGACCCAATCATACTTCCCATCTTTTTCTACATGTGGACAAAAAACAAACAAAAAAAACCCCCCACCAAACCTTCAAATTAATCAAAGTCTATTCAATGTAAAAATGACTCTGTATTTTATCTAATCCAACATCTTAATTACAAAGGAGGAAACTCAGTCCCATCTGCTTAAGATGCGATTCTGTTTGATAGTACTTTGATATCCCACAGACAGAATTATCAATATCAAATTTTGAAAACCTTAAGTTCAAAACTCTTTTTAATAGTTTACCTTTAATAATAAGAAAGGGGAAAGCATGGCAAACAAACAAGCAAACAAAAACAACCAACACTAAAATATGAAAAGGAATTCATTGAAAAGCTGTATGAATTATAGAAATAAATGTCCCTATCAGTCCATTTTTCCATAAAGAATATCATGCTTTCACTAACATCAGAAAAAATATTTATAAAGCTGGAATTTAGAAATCTGACTATTGCAATTTCCAGATCCTTTATCCTTAGGGTCTCCAGTCACACTCTGCAGTTGGCAATGAAATTTGTCTGAAGTTCTTCTCCAAGATATTTGAATATGTTTGCATAATACCAGTCACGAACAGGTGCTCTAAACAGTTGTGGAAGTAAAATAATACATCAAGGCTTTGTGGAGAGGTGCACACTCACACATGCTCGCTCCCATCACGACTCAGGCAAATACAACAGATGCAGTCAAATTTGACATAGTTTTCTTGGACCCAGGTCTGTCATTACTGCCAGACCACCTGCTCTTTCCCTGCCCATTCCCATGTCACTGATGCCCTAGCCCCATCCTCATAGATCTGACACTGTCTTACAGATGTCCTAGGTCAGCTCATGCAAGCACACATTCGTGTACATGCACACATGTGCGCATGCACATAAAATAGGTCTGGGCACTAACTTTGAAACTTACTGGGTTCCAATTCTAAAATCCTATCTACTATTACAATTGTAAATAAGGAAATGTATATGTATATACAGGGGTGAGCCAAAGTAGGTTTACAGTTGTAATATATATAAATAGTACAATAAATAATAGTACAATAATAAACTCTGTGCTTCACACGCTCACAACTGTAAATTTTGTCCACCTCAGCATGACTCAGATATATAACATGTAAACACATATATGTATCAATTTATCTCTTCACTGTGATTCATAATGAGTTAGATAAAAACCACTTAGTTTTGGGGGTGGAGGGAGGTAGACGAAGGCATAGGGGGGGATAAATGGTGATGGTGGAAGGAAACTTGGCTTGTGGATGTAAACACACAATACAGTAGACAGATGATGTATTATAGAATTGTACACCTGAAACCTATGTAATTTTATTAACCAATGTCACCTCAATAAATCTAAAAAACATGTAGAAAATAAAAAAATACACCTACTTAGTTTGAAAAATTCTTTCATTTGCTGCAGAGGATGGTCTGTGAAAACGGGTTTTCAATTAGAAACTGCCCCCCACTCCCCTATACACTGCTGCTCTGCACTTCCCAAGGTCCCCTTAAGGGCACAGGGACAGTGCATGGGTTTTGGAGCTAGCTACACAGAGGTTTAAGTATTAGTTCTGCTATTTACTGTTTGAGAAAATTACTTAACCTCACTGAACAATCATTTTCTTATGTCCAAATGGGAATAATAATACCTATCTCAGAGGTGTAAGGATTTGAGCTAATGTGTGTGTGTGTGTTGCATGGTAGTGCTCAGGAAATAATAGCTACAATGATGGTGATGAAGAGGAGGAAGAGGAAGAGAGGAATGGGGAGGAAGATGGTAGGTAGTCTCCACTTCCTGAATGCCTTCTGTATTTCCTAGCCAGGCTTGGCAGAACTTAACTGCTAGCATATAGCCAGGGAATATCAAGTGTGAGGTAGGGGAAAGGGAACTACTGATGGGGCAGGAGTGTGAAAGGGGTGGCTCGCACTTACCATGGGACTTTCCTGTCTTGAGCTTATATGTCCATACACACTAGTATACTTCCACTGTTAGGAAAAGGGCATTCATAGTAGTGAATTCAGCATCATTTAAAAAGTCAAGGCCTTTTTGTTGTTGTTTTTGATTAAAAGGACCAGACTTTACTAAGCAGGGTGAATACATTCCTGTGTCCTACATCCTGGCTAATCTTTGAATTTCCATCACCACAGCAGGTCCCGGCAGCTAGCAATCCCTTAGTTACTGTGAGATAATCTATGGCTTGCAGAACACATGCCCGGCTCCTTCCCAGAGACCCGGAGTCGGAGTGTACTGCCAAGCCACAGGCAGAGCGGCTGCTGTGGTCTCAATTGTCCCAAGTACAACAGGAAGGAGGAAGCCTCAACCTACTTTGGACATGCCCTGAGTGATAGAGCCACTTAGGGCCTGCTTCAGATGCCATTCTGTTTGCAAACACACACAACCTATCTGCAGCACCACTTGACAAAATAATCCTTCAGAATGCCTGCTGGCAAATGACTAATGTTAAAAGAGGCCTGTGTATCATTCCAGTGATGACTCCACAGGCATCAATTAAACAAGGAGAAGACCTGTTCTGAAGCACAACCATCTGGTGTTTCCCAAGAAGCAGCAGTCGAAGGCAGATGAAACACAAGTGATCATGACTCTAAAGACACTTAGCAGTCCTCTCCTTGCTCAAAAGCAGCAAGAGCCCATGAGGACAATGAACCTGGAAGACCTCCAATATTAGAGGTAATTAAGAAAAGGCTGCATCTGAGGCCAGCACTGCTCTTCCTCATGCATGGAAAGCAAAAATCTGGAGGTTGCATGAGGTCATCTTATAGCCACCCAAGAGGCAGACTGTTCCCAGGAGTCTGTCTGGTAGTCTAGGGGTGAAGTCAATTGTTATGTCTCCAGGTGAGAGAAAGGATTGGCGGCAGTCCATCTTCTGCTTCCAGGAGTGCTTTCCAAGTACCAGCATCTAGGATTCTGTCCAGCACAGGAGGCCAACACCACTGTGGTCCAAATGTCCTTCACTAGAAACCCATGATTTTACTAGCATTTGAGTAGATGAAGGAGGGCCCATTTAACAAATCTAATGAGAGTGATGTCAAGTTATAAAACCCTCAGAAGAGAGACAGTAACTGAGAAGAAAATGCTTTCAAGACTTCAGTTCAAGATCAGTCAGGAAGACACCTGTATATATAGACACCGCTTCAACCACCACCGCCTCATCACACCTAATGACTGCCTGTGACAAGCACTTGCATTCTCTATTTCTGGCTTTTCCAACAACAAAAATATGTGTCCTTATTCTCAGTCCTGGATCTGAACCTATTCTTTAATGATAATTTGTGCCCCATCCATCCTCCCCTTAATATGCAAGGTCAGAGAAGTTAGAAAGGAAATACTTTTCAGTTTTAATTTTGATCTAGATCTAAAATTGTTAATTTTTTTTTATTCCTTACCCTTTTTCTGTGATTATTGTAAATATGCACCCTTCACATATCCTGGCCCCAATATTCAGAAGGTAATAGTCTTAGGATAAAGGCTATCAAGTAAAAACAAACAAACAAAAATACAAAATGTCACAAACAGTTTTAAAACCTCCACAAAACAAACAAACAAACTGACACACAAAAATAGGGTGCTTCCATTCTCCCGAGTCCCTTTTTTGCAGACCATGCAATGTACTTAAATCTCTTTCATAGCAGCTGCCTCAGTGTTAAGTTTTTGGCTTGGAAATTAAAAAAGAGGTTTAGTTAAGGTCACTGACAATTCTTTTCTCAGCACAATAGAAAAGCCACCCAGCCCATTCACAGCACTATCATGGCAGAAAGCACACACAGCGGGGACAAGTAGGAAACAGAAGAGTACCTGGGATTGCCAGATTGGACAGGGGTACGTCGTGGAGGTGAGGGGGCAGTGAGGCCATCCAGTCGGCATTGCAGACGTCCGATGATGATGTCTTGGTCGCGCTGGGGATGGGGGAACAGATGGTCCCCATCCTGAGTTTCCTCCCTAGCATCCCTCCCTGTCTTGTCAGTCAACAAACCGCCCAGGCTCCGTCCAGTGCCACTCACTCAGCGATCATCATGGCCCGGGCTCTCTAAACATCGGGCCACACTCTGGTCCTGCCAGTCCTGCCAAAAGGCCCTTAGGGCCGGGTCGACGGGGGGGGGGCAAATAGGTGGTTTCCTGCCCCCTCCCTCCTGGCGCCCGCAGTTCCCACCCTCTCTGGCCCGGCGGCTGCGGTTCCACTCAATGTTCTCAGTCCCGGCGGCTCCGTTCAACTTCTCCCTCTCCCCTCCTTCCCCTCCGGAGCTGGGGGAAGGCAGGCCCCCGGGAGGTAAATCTTCAGAAACTGGAGGTCCGAAGAGCAGCCACGCCCGGAGCCGCTCACAAGTCAGGTGCCGCCTCCACAGCACAGAGCCCGGCCGGTGAGTCTGTCCACACGGGAGCGCCGGATCGCACCATCGCCGCCCTGGTGTAGGCGTCCAGGTATGTCCCCGGGCTGGCACCGGAGCGGGCCGGCCTCCCGCGCCCCCGCGTCTGGGCACACACGCCCCCTGCCCGGTGCGCCCCGAAGGAAGCCGCTCCGAAGAGTAACGCGGCCCCGCACTCGCGGCGGCCCCTCCCCGCACTGCGGGGCAGACTCGCCGGGCCAGGCGGCCGCTGATTGGCCGCGGGCGGGGCGCGCTCTGATTGGCCCGCGCTTTCCCTGGCAGCCCCCTCCGAGCGACTCCCCCTCCCTCCGCCGCCGCCCAGCCCCTCCCTGCCTCTCCCGCCTTCCTGGGCGCAGGCAGACGAACCTGCAGGGAAACTTGCAGGCTGGGGGGATCCATCTGACCTCAGACAGGGCTTTCATGAGGGTAAACTGTAGGATCTCTAAGGATAGGAGGACGTTGCACACCGATAATCATGGGGACAGGTTGGAAAAAATGGGCAAATCAGGAAAAAAACAAAACCCTGGGCCTTGAGGGTGGTGGGGTCCTGGAAGGCTTCAGGCCAGGCTGCTCCACAGAGACTCCGTAGAGACTGAAGGCCCATATAGAGATCCTGGGGACAGCTGACCTGGAATCACCAAGTGGGCCCACCTCATCTCCAAGGTAACTCCAACTGCAGGCCCCCACTTCGGACCTCCAGTTTCTGAAGATTTACCTCCCGGGGGCCTGCCTTCCCCCAGCATATGTTCCTTTGGACATCCTTATTAACTGCATATGTTCCTTTGGACATCCTTATTAAAATTTCATTTTCCAGGCTATTTTTAACACTCATGTTAAGACTGCTTTTCAGCCTTTTGAGCTACATAATATTACTAACAGGTGTTGTTGTTGTGTTGTTGTTTTTTTCTTTTCTACAGAAGTATCCCTTAATAAAAAGTGTACACTATTCAACCCTGATTGATAGAGCCTTGGCCTGCGGACTGAAGGGTCCCAAGTTCGATCCCATTCTAGAGCCTGTACCTTGATTGCAGACACATCCCCAGTAGGGGGTGTGCAGGAGGCACCTGATCAATGTTTCTCTCTCATCCATGTTTCTAACTCTCTATCCCTCTCTCTTCCACTCTGTAAAAAATTAAAAGAATATATATAAAAAGTGTACACTATTCATAATGTATCTTCTGATGCTTAAAGGGCACTTCTACAGAGCACTCTCTTTTTCAAGTATATCACAGAATATTTGGAGATATGTCACCCAGTTGTCTGAGTCTACCAATTTTTTCCCTCATGGACAATTACTCTGAAGGAATATCCCAAGGTTTACCCTTGAAACTTTCTGGGCTTCCCTTGTACTTAAATTCCCTAACACAAAACTTCACGGAAGCTATCCAAGGCAAACAAAATGTGTTCTTTAAGCTCTACTGTGAAATGTTCATTTCAATGCTCTCCTCCTTCTTACTTCTCAGCTTTTGATGGAAGGAGTGAGCATATTACAAAAAGCATCAAGCTCTAGACTTACAAACATGCGAACTTGAAAATGAGGAGTAAAACCACTTCAGAATGAGATGTCCTGTACTCTGGCAGCTATTTCAATCAAAATGAGTTTATTTGCCCAAGAAAATGGCTCAAAAGAAGATAACAGTTGGGACTTGTGTCAGTCCCAAAAGAAATCTTACAAATGGAAACAGACTTTCATACAGTACATGGCATATGGTAGGTGCTCCACAAATATTTGTTAGAAGGAGGGAGATGCTTGGAAAACATGCTCTGCCAGATTCTAGGTAGTACCTAAGGTCAGTGCTTTTCATATCTTCAGTGCAAATCAATTCTGATTGAGTTGGTTTGAGATGAGCCTGAGATTCTGCATTCTAGCAAGCTTCTGGCCTTGTTAGAGCTGCTGCTGCTGGCTTACACCACACTGAGTAGAAAGGCCTTTGAAAGCAGGCTCATGTTTGGTAGGATGGACTTTGCATTGCTTTTTTCTCTATTACCCAAGGTTTTATAATATTTTATATCACTTTTATAATTTAAAAATTTTGCAGTAAAAATTCTATTATAGCTAAGAATCTCTAAGTATTAGATATTAATTTTTATGTCATAAGATGTGGTAGAAACTAAATTATCAGTAGGCTTTTTATACTATGCCACAGATATTTAGGGAATACATAATTCTAAAATAAAATTCAGTATTTGGAATTTAAATAGTTAATATTTTTTTACATACTTAGTTATGTATTTATCAAAGGGAGAGGAGACTAAATTAATAGGAGGACTGACATTTTAAGGCAAGTCAATTTTAAGCAATAATTACAAACAGAGTGCTTATTACTTTAAAATCATTCTGATAGGTGCTAGAAATAGAAGAAAGGTTAAATAAAAGTTGATATATGTGAACCTTAGATAATATATAATATAATCCAGAAAAGAGAGTCAAATTTCTGAATTACAAATTGTAATGGGAAGCTAAATGAAGGAATAATAGAGTACATGTGGAGGATAATGAAGAGACATACATTTTGATGGGGAAAGGGTCAAGAATGTTTTATTAGAGAAGGTGGCATTCAAGCCAGGTCTGGAAAACTCTCTGCAAATGGAAGTGAGTGCAAGTTGCTGGAGATGGAAAGAGATGTGGAGCTGAGATAATGTAAGCAAACCTATGACAGTGAGTGGTAGATGTGAAAAATGGCATGTGAAATAGTGGGAAGTATAACTCATTTACTCTCATTGAACCCTCACAAGAGCCCAGTGACTTAGGTACTATTCCCACCCCCATTTTACAAATGACACCGAAACTTATAGCTAGTGAGTGGAAGAGCTGTGACTACAAATCTCTGGATCACTGTGCCTGTGGCATCCCATTACCAGTATTATTGCAAGCCTGGTAAGACTGTTTATCCGAAGTATGTAAAGAGTTTGGACTTTGTATTTCTGTAGACAAAATGGACCATTGTGGGTTTTTGAGAAGGGGAGTAAACTGATTCACCTTTGTACTTCAGGAAGGTAACTCTAGCATGCTGAAGAATGGCTGGAGAAATGCCATCTTTGAGGTAAGTCCCTGAAATCCATCATAGAAGCAGGAGAGAAGTGAGAAGGCCTCAGAAGGCCTGTAGCACAGACTAAATGCATGGCCTTTCTTAACGGTGGTGCTTGCCTTCTCATCCTCACTTCTCATCTCCAGGGACCTGTAATTCTAGGGCTTGAGTGGCCAGCCTGTCTCTGAATTGATTTTCATCATTTGAAAGTCTCAGTAATTTGGTCATCTATTTTGTTACCTGTAACCATACATGCTTATATGAATACCTCTTCAGCTTTTGTGTTTGTTTGTTTTCTGGAAATTTTGTCTTCATTATTTGATCACCGGCCCCTCAGAATTGCTGAGGAGTTTAATGCAACTTGTGCCCTCTCTTGGAGACTATATTATATTTTGAACGTGTCTATGACTCATTTTCTTTGCAATCTTGTGAGGTTCCCAGAGTAAGCATCTAAATAGCTTGCTATTTGGGCATGTCTGGTTGGCAAGGCAAATGGCCTAGATTTTACCTGATTGAAGACAACCTAAAAGCCTCAGAGGAAACTTACTGGCTTAATGAGACTGTGGTGGGGCAGCCTCTGGCCCTCACATCTATTACCCCGTGCTGCCTTACCTCCCATTCTGTGTGCTCAAGGAGGGGAGGGGACCGACCTCAAAGAGAATCAGAACCCAGGCATGTGTTTGGTGCAGGGACATTGCCTGCAAGTGAGTGTGGTTATATGATGCTTAGAGTTTCACAGTGATGTGTCATTCACATTCCCCCCCCCCGCCCCCCTTGGGTGGAGGTTATGGGGAGGGGGAAGGACTGAAAGGACGATCCAGGTAAATAAAAGATGGCTGGAGTATAAGGCTGCTTTGTTTTGTGCCTCATATCAGTAGAGTTTATTTCTCCCTAGTCATCCCCAACCTTGTTTCCCCAATTCAAGTAATAAAAAAACTGTGTGATAAAAATCAAGGTAGAATGAAGAAATGTCACCACTGCAGGTGGTGCTGTAGACATGATGACAGCAGAAGCAATTACCTCCAGGAAGAGCAGCATCACTTGCGAGCCTCCAAGAAAAGGGAGATAAGGAGGTACACGGACTCATTCCTCAAACATCCTTAATATCGAAGGCAGAGTCAAGAGCCGAGATCCAGTTATTGTGCTGGATAGAGTTAGAGCTGGAGGCCATGGTATTGGGACCCATTTCCTGATTGTACCCAGGTGACTGTCTTTGAGAATCTGAGTAAGAGAGCAGCAGCAAGGTAAGCAGGGAGTCATAATATGTGGCATCACCTTATGCACACCTGGTCTTTGTGGCCCACAGCGGGCATTCTGTAGGGAGATGAATGAGTAGCAGCAGCAATTAACTGTCTATAGGATTGTTTCTCCCAGATTCGAAAGCTTGACATTCAGAAAGATCTTGAGAGCCTCTCCCACTTTTATACTTATTGGACATCAAATTTTCTGGTATATTTTAATAACAACATAATGTTACCATGACACTTTTGAGAGGTGTTAATAACAAGTGGTGACTATAAAGTTAGTTTAATGTCCATTTAGAGTCATGTGCC